TTCCCCATGCCCAAAGCAACCTTTATTGGATCAGCTATATTGACTATTTTCCAATTCCCCATAATACACTCTGTCTGCCCCCCAAATTTTGGTATTGAATAACAGAATTTTACGAGAACCCTTTTACGTTATGAGGGTCCTCGTAAATTTTTGTTACCAAATACGTAAATTTGGGGGGCAAACAGAGTGTATTATGGGGAATTGGAAAATAGAGAATACATGCGTGCGTGTCTGATCTCCGAGGCTTGAAGGGTGGGGGCAGACTGATTATTAAATAGACATAAATGTGAGGATAATGAAGACGATAACGACGACGATAATAATGATCATGATGATAGTGATGATGATGATGATGATGATGTCGTTGATGATGATCAGGGATGATACGAAGGACTAATAACGATTTGTCTTTCCGACTTAGGGCCATGTGATGTTTGAGCTACTGCGCTACAACTTTGCACTGGCGTCAGAAATATGCAACTATCTCAACATCTATTTCTTCAGTATAACACCTCCGATCAAGTCTGACGACAAAGACAAATAGTTCTTGCAGATGTGTGTCCTTAGTATCAGTGGTATCCCTATAAGTACTTAACATCAGTGTGTTTAAACTATTTTCCATTTAGTAATAGCAACATGTGTCCTCTATCAAATAATGACATAGCACCTTTATTGTGGCCTCTATATTATATAATTATTGCGATAAAGACTGCGCCATAAAATTGATAGCGGGGCTCAGAGATCACAAACGGATGAAATGAAATGGCACTGTTCTTTATGGTCATTTCCCATCCAATCAATTCTGTTTCTTCTTACCTTGTCTCACTTTTTGTTCAGTTCTCTTTGTGGTCTTACATGTATATACAATTACACTCTTATTGGGGCGGGAGCAGTAAGACAAATATGTGAACAAAATTCAGTGGTTTAATCAGTCAGGTGAAATCTCTTTTAGCATTATTTTACATAGTACTAGAAGTTTTCAAAACAAGACTGGAGTTGAGATTCTCTCGATATAGATCTGTAACTTTCGCACCCTTAAAACGTAAAGTTTTAATACGCAGTTGTGTCAGAGATAGACTACTATTCAACAACACTCTCTCCTTTTCGAAGAGTTGCCGTAGGGCTGGCAACGTAGAACTCTATTCAGTAAAGACCTTTTTCCACTCACGTACACAGGAATAACTCTTTTCAGTCAGGGCACCAATTTGAGATTTCTCTTGTTATTTTATATCTGAAACTTTTGATAGGTTTTCCTAAATTACTTCCTTTTCTCTCCGAAAAGGATTGTTATTTATTTGAAAGTGGAATCATTGTCTTACTTTATTTGTGTTATGATGTCTTTGCTGATTAAGTTGATTTTCATATAAATGGCCTGTTTTTACTAAAAGTGGTTAACCTTTACCTCTTTAGAATAGAAATGAACCGGCCTAGTTTATCAAATAAACTACTCAATAAAATACTTATTTCAGAGCTGCAGGTCATTTTCTTTCTTGAAAGGCCACATGTAAGCCTCTCTATGGTTTCTTGCGGACGTCGTTTTCATCGCGCATTTTCCATCAAATCGTCAGTGTTTCAACGAAATTGTTGCATATTAAGAATTGTTTTCTGTGGTAACGCAACAAGCGTGCTCGAGCTACCTTGACGTCGAAGACGGAAACGAGAAAATTAAGAAGCAATAACTTTAATAACCAAAACAGAAACTCTGAAGTTGCAGCACACTTTTTGGCGGATTTCTTTGCCATCACCACACTGGCTGTCGACGGATTGGAATAGCAATGCGATCACCTCTTTAATCTCTAACATCGTTGTCTTATCAAAAGCAATCGTTGCGACTTCTACTTCGTTGGAAATGTCCATAGAGAGTCTTTTATGTCTGGCTAACTCACCATTTCTGTCGGACAATACAGAAATGTGGTCGGACTGAGTAAACGATGCAGTACGGTCTCTAAAGAAAGTTGCGCTTCGCTGGCGCGGGATTCGCAGCTGGACTGATTAATGCCGCGTATTCACTGCAACAATGTTATTTCGTTGGAATAACAATTCACGTGCGCTCACAGTTGATTTTATTCATATGCACTGAAATGATTGCCAACGGTATCAACTTTATCCGGACATCTTGTCCGACCACAGTTGCGATTTCATCGGATATGGACCAAATTTTAGTCCTGCATTGTCCGGTGGCGGATTGTCATTTGCAGCTCCGTCATTTCGCACGGTATAATTAATTTATTTCTTGAGTATTAGGTACCTTTTTATATAAAAATACCTCGTATTAACCTGTCCAGATAAACTTGTTTGAGTTTCATAGCACCTTTCCTTTCCTTTTAGGTTTTTCGTTTCTCAACGCCCGAACGACCCCGTTTTTTAAAGAAAACTTTTGGAAAATGAGGAAATAACAAAATAAATAAGAGGATTTCCTTTTTGATTTATCCAAGAGTATAACACCCTTACTTTTGTGAAAACAAGGGTAGTTTACAGCAAATGGATTAGTGAACATTTTTTAACAGCTTTTAAAAAAGAGGGGGCGATGCCAAACGCAATACTAAGACATAACTTTAGCTCATACGTATATATTTAATTGTGTTTTAACAATTTAACTCGAAATTGCAAGACTCGTGCATTGTTTTGTTCACTACGACGCCACATGAATATTCTCTGGAAATTGTGTCTTTAATATTTGTACCTGAAGCTTCAAATATGTTCAGGATTGAACGCCAATGCTTGACAATGACAAACTTGATCTTCATGATGACCATCGCAAAGAGCATTCATGGATGAAAGTCCACCAAATCACACGCAGTTCATTCAGATATGAAGTAATATTAAAATGACAAATAACCCAGAGTGAAATATTGCAAACTCCAATAAGAAAAGGACACAAAAACAAGACTTACGTAAATCCTCCATAAACGCCCCCGGGGGGCTTATTTATTTCAAACACATTTGAGGGAGGGGCTTAATAGAGACGAGGGAAACTTATTTAATTTAGCAAAGACGATGGCATCAGTTATCCATAAAGAACTGAATACATAGTGGAAAAGCTCAAGTACAAGAAGTTGGAGGTCATGCAACAGAGGATCAAAAACAAATCCGAACTTCCAGTTGCTGAATAAACCATCTTGGATTACCGTATTTATTCGAATAAGCGCCCAGCCTTGAATAAGCGCCTACCCCCTCCCCCTCAAACTCAAATAAGAGATAATAAGATACCCTTCTGAAGACGGATTTTTTTTCAGAGTATTTTACAGAAACCTTGGTTTGTTAAATCCTTGCGTTTTGTTATTACCATTTATTGCTTTGTTGCAAAATAAACATACTACATTTGCTGAAAATGGTGAAGATTTAATAAGTACCCACCTTAAATTAGCGCCCACTCTCAAGATCCAAAAATCCTAATTTGAAAATACATTGCCTCAGTGACCGTGGTTTGTGTTGTCAAGTAACTATGAAGTGTTATTTAATTGTACGAGGCCTTTGATTCGCCGATTTCTCAAGGCATTTTTATGTTGTTCTGTTCAACTATTATTTATTGAATAAATATTACCTAATTCAGGAATTTAATCTGGGATATGTGTTAACATCATAACTCAGTCCGCTGCACTCTCCCTCACTCCTAACTTCTTTGGCCTAAACCCCCTGAACACCTTACTAGAAATAGGTATCTCGCAAACCCTCTTGCAACGCGGGTTTAATAGCGCTACCCAAACATTTAACATGGTGACTTAATAACTTTATGTTGCTTTCTACTGCTAATTTATAGATTTTGTGACACCATTTATTTGTCCAAATTTGAGACGTTTTGCCCCCCGAAATATTAGGAAGTAGGTTTTTTATAATTAGTACCTTATTTTACCAAAGACGGAAGTCATTACCAGCTTTTGCCAAGAAAAATGCCCCTAAATATGTTTTAGGCTTATCTTCTTCAGAGTCATACAAGAGAACACCTCACAATTAATAGGGTGCGGATGATTGAATAAGAATGCACAGAAGAATAGGACGAATGGGACTAAAGAAAGCGGTGGCAGACGGAAAAGTGGAAGAGGGGATAGGGGAAATAACCAGCGAGTTCCCTGGATGAAAAAGGAACTGGGTTATAGCTTCGTTTTCTTGCTCAAAATTGATATTTTATGACTAAAATAACAGCTTTACAAACAAAACATGCACACCTCATTCAACCGGCAAGTCATTCAGAGGTACAAATTATATTAGCTTTTATTTAAAACCAAACATATATTAAGTGTTTTTCAAAACATACCCGACAATTTCATAAAATCATTTCCCAGAAATACGTAAAAAAGTAATACTAATGATGTCGTGTTCCAAAAAGTGCAATGTAAATGTGAGTCACACAGTGCATACTGCACGTCAACTTTTTCACTCCCCCAAACGCAAAAAAAAAAAATTCTTCAAACAACAGTGCACCAAGTTGTTTATGTTAACTGGAATTGGGTAAATTACAGAACGGGATTATTGCCAAATCAATGTGTTCGAGAATCCTTGTATCATGTCTATTAACTAAGGGCCTCCACAGGTTAGAAATCTACTTGCCTTTAGCGTCTATTTGTTAAAAGATCGTCTCAAATGTAATGACCAGTAGAGGTTCTCCTCAAACTTGGAGACAAAGTTGTCATGTAGCAGCTGCTCAGAAGAGAAGGCACCAATGGTGTCCAACCCTGACCCCAAACAATACTAAAACAATTGAAACAATGACATGTCATTGTTTTCTGCAACCAATCATCAGGGGAGACCTTAAGAGCAGCTCCTACACAACTGCGCTGAGGAGTAAGTTTACTATCGATACTGCGCATGTCAACGCGAGTACTTGTCTAGGGGACCGTTGACAAAGAACGTAGACTGCAAGACAGTCCGTATCTATGCGTATTCAAGTGCACTGTATGCACGAACAGTTCATCAAAAGCTGAAAACGGAGAGCGAGACTGGGCGCTAAACCAATTTTGAGAAAAAAAAATCGACTGTTGTGCAGTCTATAAGAAACGGTAGTATAGCGTCAGTTCTCAACGACTGTCTCACCCTCTCAGGCTGGGAAAATTCTTAAAGTAGCGCTCTTTTTTAAAAGGAAAATTGTCGCTGACAGAGTTTTTCCCGGTTTCCTACGGATAACTTGTTCGACAGACTAGCCTCTGTGTTGTCGATGATACATATTTGTTAATCCACGTATTAATAGTTATTGGCATTGTGGAGCCCTAAGAATCAGTCCTGAAAAATTCAAAGAAGATAGCGTTCTCTCCCTTCAATTTGATAATAGACCACTAATTGGATTTTCTTAAAGTATGAATACCTATCCGATATGTGACTGTCCACTTTAAAGATCAAGGCGTCGCAGCTTGGTTTCGTCACCGAAATCACCGTTCTTGTGTGTGAACAGAAGCCATATCCGAAATGGTTTTCCTTCCTGCGCAAAAGCTATCAAGTATAGTGTGAACACAGCCTAAGATCGCCTCTTATTCATGTTTGGGTCGATTCTGCGTGACGCTCCCAGCATCTTTGTCCTCAGCATCATGATTTACTCTAAAGACGCCGATGATTGAAGGCCAAAAATTCCACACCGTCCAGATGAACCAAATGCTAACGAAGAGGATCCAGAAGGCAGATACGTGAAAAGGGAAAGGGATGCTGAGTGTGTCCCAGCCAAACTTGACACAGATTAGTATTTCAGTCGCCACTATGGCAGCCACCACCCACGCTTGCTGTCCGAACCGTTTACAGGTGCTACAAGGTCATGACATAAAGGCCGCATATCAATTGTGGGCGGTTAAAAATTGTAACACAAGTGCAGTTTTACTTAATAGCCAAATAGAGACCTTAAAATCGAGGTTTGCCCATCTTACGGCAAACGGCAAACCGCGGTTAGCGATTAGCGGTTTCATGTTACCCGTCTGCCTATATTTGAGACTTGAGCTTCGCGAGTGGAACTCGCGGCTCTCACGTTTGTTTTCATTCACTCGCTCACTTCTACTTCGAATTTGATAATTAATTAGTAAAAAAGATTCCCTCTCAAACGTGGGACTGTGATGCTTTCGAGAGCAAAAAAACCTTGCGGTAAATTACTCACCTCTAGAGCGTGGTCTAGCCGTACGAACGTCACATCAAACTACAAACCTGACGCCAAGGCACCGGTCACGTGACTTCTTGACGTTCGAGGTTCGCGGGGAATGGAGAGTTTTAGATTCGAGTTTACCGCGAACCTCTAACCGCTGGAGGTCATGTAACAAGTCTTTCGCGTCACGTTTGAGGTTTATGACGTGCGTTTTCGACGTGGGGAGGTAGGTTTTCACGCATGTCATTTACCTGAAAGTTTTTAGCGTATAATGCTTGTTTTATCCCACGTAATGATACAAAAATCTTGTGGAGCAAGTCTTTATCCATTAACAGAGGCACAAATTCGGGCGAAATGCTAAATTTGATAAATCCTATTGGATCTTGAAAACAAGTGCCATTCATGGCTGCTGATTCAAAATGGCTGCCGCAATCTAATCCACCGCCAATCTAAATCGAATTATGTTTGAACTTCGAACCGCAAACGGGTAACCACAAACCGCGGTTAGAGGTTCGCGGTAAACTCGGATCTAAAACTCTCTAATGTCGAAAAACCTCGATCTTAATGTCTCTTATATTGTAGCA